ACTGTGGGGAGTGGGGATGGGTGGAGGCAGGGTTGTAGGAACCCAACAAGTAGAGCTGGAACATCTACCATTAAGCAACCTCATCATTACGTTGAAAGACCTGTCACCTTGCTGAGGGGCAACAACATGCAAAGAACATCCTCATGGAAGAGTGAAAATGCCCCTGGAAGAAGCACTAAGCAGCAGGAACCTGCCTCAGTGGGGCTCACAGCCCTGGGCTGCTTTTGCGAAGCTCTCTGCTTTGTAACTGATGGGTTGTTTTCTCCTCTTGCCACTCTTGCTCTTAAAGGAGAGAATCCAGGTTGAAGAACAGTAAACAGACCCCAAAGCACAGTTCTGGTCCATTGGACTTCTCTCCGAGCCTTTAATAAGAAAAAGCAAACGGGCAGATGGATGCTCTTCAGCAGTGAGAAATAATAACCCTATCGTGCCTGAAACCCGCAGGCCCGGCACATGCCCCATCAGGCCAGCAGCATCAACAGCTGTTTGAGGTCTTTCCGCATTAACAGGAGAATCCCTGTTGATCTTGTGTGTGTACCCTTGAGCCAGCTTTGTCTCAGAGAGACCCCACGTGGTAGAGAACTGTCCCCACAGCAGCCCTAGCAGCTGGTTCGAAACCACCAGACACAAGAGAAAGATGAGACTTTCTACTCCCTTAACGAGTAATTATCTTGTAATCCAAGAGGGGGAGTCCTACTCTGTCCTATAAGGTCACCTTGAGGAGGAATGGACTCCTTGGGGTGAGTGAGAATTTGGGAAGACCGCCAGGGCTTTATCCCTTGGAGTGGCTTGGTGGAAACAACCCTTTCATGTAGCAGGAAGGGGCTTAACCATGGGGTCACCAAAGCTTCTCATGAGACCCCCTTAATACATTCATATGGACCAGGAAAGTAATTTTCAAAATGGGACCTGATTTTTTTTTTCAAGCTTTGGAAGAATTTGAATAAAAGGCTCGTGCTAAAATACTGTTTGGGCAATTTCAGAACAAACACACAATGAAACTGGCCGAGTGGACCAGTGGCCTGGGCTCCTGTGCCCTGGGGGCTGCACAATGCCAAGTGCCTGTTGGGCAGGGCTGGAGCAGCCAGAGCAGGAGGGAGACTGGGGGTCCCAACAGGAGCTGAGAGAGCCTGTCCGTCCTCTCAGCGTGGTCAGTCCTCTGGCAACATCTCCCCTCAGCGATTCATTACAGCCTGGTGACATGCCGTGTCATGGAGCAGAGTGGGGCTGGCGTGTCCCACACCTCTCCCACGTCTTCCTGGAGCCTCTGTGTGCCAAGGACACGCCAGGCCACTCCCCTGGGGGTACAGAGCCAGAGTTGAAGGTGGTCACGGCACCGAGGGGATAAATTGGTCTCACTGCCTCTTTCAGAGCACAGGGACCACTCGTATGCAGTCTTGGAAATCCACCTGGGAAAGCATGTTCAGAGGCTACCAACATGGCAAACCAATGTGGGTCTCCCAACCCCACTGAAGAGAGCTTCTGAGTCACGTGCAGACTGTATCTTGATTGTAGAAAATGTCAGTGAACTGGGCAAGATCGCGTGTTGTGTTGGAATTCTTTCAGATGTGGCAGACACTTCCTAGGAAACTGCAGACTTTCATTGAGCGTTTGTAAAGGGGTTTAGCCTAGGGGAGAGCCTCATGGCTTTAGAGAAGTGTGTGTGCCACGCAGCCCTTTCAAAGCTTCCCACACCAGAATCATGGAAAACTAATGGCAGAGAAGACCATGAAACCACAATAGCGATCTTCTACCAAACCCGAGAGCAGTGGTTCACACATGTGGTCGTGACCCCTTTGGGGGGTTGAACGACCCTTTCACAGGGGTCGCCCGATTCATAACAGTACCAAAATTACAGTTATGAAGTAGCAACAATACTTTTATGGCTGGGGGGTCACCGCAACATAAGGAACTCTATGAAAGGGTCACCGCAGCAGAGAAGTGGGTGAAGGGAGATGTCGGATGGTGTAAGATATGACAAAATAATTTATACATTATCAAGGGTTCATGGGAGAGAGGGGAGCAGGGAGGGAGGGGAAATGAGTTGATACCAAGGGCTCAAGTAGAAAGCAAATGTTTTAGTGATGATGGCAACATACGTACAAATGTGCTTGACACGATGGAGGGATGTGTGGATTGTGATGAGTTGTGAGCCCCCAGTAAAATGATTAAAAAAAGAGTTGAGAACCACTGTCCTAGAGGCCTGAGGGGGTGCAAATGGTTAAGCAGTGGGCCACCCCAACAAAGTTAGCAGTTTCAACTCAGCTGGCGGAGTCTCTCAGCTGCTAGCCGTGAGATCCCAAGTTCAAAACCACCAGCTGCTCCGAAGGAGAAAGATGCGGCTTTTTGCTCCTGTCTCAGAAACCCAGAGGAGCAGTTCCATTCTGTCCTGCAGGGTCGCTGTGCATCAGAATTGAATCAAGGGCAGTGCGATTTTCTTTTTGAGAGGCGTCCCGAAAGAAAGGCCGAGTGATCTGTCTCTAGAAGCTCACTGCCTTGGAAGCTCCCGAGAGCAGCTCTCTTTGCACCCAGGATGCCCTGAGCCAGAACCCGCTAGCGGACAACTGCCAACCGCAACCAGCAACCCTAAAGAGAATGAGCAGGAAATGGCTTCACCTGTATTTTTAACATCTGTCCAATAATGGAAATTGCCTCCTTCAGAAGTAGATTCAAATATTTCACTCTCATCCTGTGCCCACCAGGACCCACTGCCACTTCAGAGTCAGTCACCCTTATAGGTTAGGACAACACAGGTGGTCTTCTCCATGGATATGCCTGGTCCCCTTGCTTCTTCTCAGGGAAGATGAACATCAGCATAGAAAGTTAGCTCTAAATATTCCAGGAATAAAACAAAACACATAGTGAACCCCTCCACCATATGCTAAAGGGGCTAGAATCAGGCAGCTTCATTCCCAGAGAAAAGAACTTCCATTTAATAAAGTGCTTACAGTTCTCAAACATGTGGCATGGGGGCCTTTTGGGGGCGAAGCCTTGGGCCTAATGGCTGATATTTTTACAGACCCCTGCACCTCTCCCACTGGTAGGAACCCTGGTGGTGTATTGGGTAATAATTTGGCCTGCTAACCACAAGGGCATCAGTTCAAAACCACCAGCCGCTCCTCAGGAGAAAGAGGAGGCTCTCTACTCCTACAAAGAGTTAGTTTCAGAAACGCACAGGGAGAGTTCTTACCCTGTCCTATAGGATGGCTATGAGTCAGGATCGGATCGATGGCAGCGAGCTTTTTGTTTTGTTTTACTCTTTGACACTTCTCCTGGTCTCAGCCCGCAGACACGCAGTGAGCTGAGATCCTCACAGGTCTGGTGTAGTTCTAAGTACATCCAGGGACTCCAGAGTTAAGAGTGGATCTAGTAGGAAGAGGACTGTCGGCTCTGAGACTCATGAAAGTCTCTCATCCTCCAACGAGAAAATTTATTTACACCATTTTCACTAACAGTGAGCAATGCGACCCGTTACCATGCTCAGCGACTGGCCCAGTGCATGGAGGTTCAAGTCCATGGAGAGGTACCTCGTAAGAAAGGCTCGTGCAATCTCAGCCACTGCCCACTCTGGGGAGCAGACTTACCCATACACGTGGGGTCGCCATGAGTCTGAATCCACTCCACCGCTGGTCTCTGAGCGCTAACCAAGGAGCGAGCAGGGAGCCCTGGCAGAATTAACTTGATGGCTATTGAGTCTGATGTTGTGTTTGGTTGTTGCTTATGAAATGAGCAGCTGCCCAGCCTCCCCACTTGCCTCAGGGACTCCACACTGAGCTGAGGGCAGCTGGCATCCTGCTCCATCCTTGCCCCTCCCTTCACAGCCACCCGCCACCGTGGAAGGATGGAGGAAAGAGCACTTTGGAACAATTAGTCGCCAAGCTAAGGGGTTCAGGAGTGTGGGCACTTGCATGGATCTGTCATCTTTAAGAGCGCGACGAGGCAAGCTTGATGAAGAATTCTGGTCAGTTGTTTTCCACGAGCCTCCGTCTAAACAACTGCCAGGACAGAAGTAATCCAGGCTATTAAATAATCAAGGACAGAGAAAGTGAAGGCTAATGTGTAGAGGAATGGGCAAAAACCAATCATTTGACACCAGACGCGTTGAATGAAACATACTGTCAACCAGCTAGTTTTGTGAGAACTTCATTCCAAAAGGAGATGAGAAGGCCCATCAAACATTTCACCTTTTAATATGAAAAGTGGGGCAGGCAGCCTCTCCATTTTCCCTGGATGTCATCTCTTGGCACATGGCAGAAGGTGACCGCCATTTGTATAATGATGTTCCCATAATTATAGTTGGGTCCCTTAAATACAGTCTCCAAGCTAACATTTGTTTGCAATATAATACACCAGGGTTACCGGCTTTCTCTGCAAGCCTCTGTGTCATTTGCTTTAGGCTATGGCAACACATCATCTTGTAAGCATCAGATGAACCCAATTAAATGTGACAAGTCTCTCAAAGTGTTGGAAGGATGATGGGTACTCGCTGAGGCTGCTCAGTATACGTGGCTAAGCTCTCCTGGGCATCTGCTTATGGGAAAGCCTGTCCCAGGCGTGATGCCTGAGCTCTGGAAACCTCTCGGTCAGCATTTTAGATCCCTGCTCTTGTCATCCCCAAAGAGTTCACGCTCAGAGTTGTTTCAGTTACAAAATTCCATGGGTTAGATGCATAACACCAAATAGGAATTCTATTACCCCCCTTCTTCTCTTAGCTGCACACACACGCACACACACGTTCTTGTATTCCACTCGCTAAGCTGTCTTCCTATTTACCCAGGAGCTGCCTCAGACAACCAGCTTGTCAGTCGTCTCTTTAATTCATACCAGGTCCCAGTGAGAACGAAGTCGCATTGCCTACATCCAGGTTCTTTCTCTCCCGGGGACGATAACTCAAAGCCCCGCTCTCCCTGGGGTTCTGCTGTGGCAGAAGTCCCAAATGCTACTGGGATACCAAGCAAGGGTCACCCCTAGTGACTTCAGAAGGGAATACCTGTCAGGGGCACTTTTAAGCAGAAGTTTATTGAAAGACAGCCTACGGGCAATCACCAAGGAATCCTGGGGGGTTGGGGGTTGGAGAGCCACATGATGAGACAAAAACTTGACTCAGTTTTTCTCAAGAACCACTGGGAATTCAGTGGGAGTCGAGTCTGCTGTCTTTCCTTTCTTGCCCCAGAGAACACGCTGCCATTTCTGAACGGTGAGACTTTGCTGGACGACACAGACGACGTTCCTTGGAGAACTACATCCCCCACCCCCGGCCAGCGACTCCCCAGAGAGGAGTCCAGGGGAGTGGAGAAAGTGTTCTGCATCCAGCAACCTTCCCACCGACAGCCTGTCATGGTTTTTCCCAAGAAAACTCACCACACAAAGGGTGACCTGAGAAGGAGGGAAGAGAAAGAGAGGGTGCCCTAGGTCTTGGGCCCCCAGGGAGAGAAAAGAAGCTTCGGTTGCGACAGAGGCCGCGTGCCTTTGGAAATAACACCCCCCCTTCCTCCCCCAGGGGAGAGCCCCGCGTCTTGTGTCCTCGCAGATCCATGGCATCCTGGCGGGCGGGAGGGTGGCTGGTGGCCTCCATTGGGTCATGTGGGCACCGCCCAGTCGGCGCTCTTGGGGGCTTTGCAGGTGTGCACGTCCAGAGCCTCCAGGCAGTCCTGACAGCGCACGGCACAGCACCAGTGGAACTTACACTCACACTTGGTCATGCGGGTGACGCGGGAGGTGTCATAGCCTCTCCCGCAGCACATGACTTCGCAGCTGTCCATGCCTCGGGAGGTCAGGTTGCAGACTCGGCCTGCTGTACCTGGGGAGCCTGGAAGACAAGGCGGGGAGCTGTCACTGAGGAGGCCTGGTCACAGACACTATGCCCAGGGGAGGAGGAGAGCCATGGCACCTACCCTCTAGTCAGGAGCCTGTCCCTCTGACCACAGTGCAGAGCTGTCACCCCCACCCCACTGACCTAGGTGGTGTGTGCCACCTTCTGCCAGCCACCGTGGGATTATTGGCATTGAGAGGCCATGAACAGGAAGGGGGACACAAACCTCTGGACTCAGCTGGTCACCCTGAGGCCAGCTCTCCCTCTACTGAATTGGATAAACCCTTCAGGTTGTCCTTCTCCGGCCTGGAATTCATAGATCCCTGGCTGGACACACCGAATGGGCAGGGCCCAATCCAAATGAAAGAAAGATATATCAAAGTTCCCTCTCTCCCTACCTCACACCACTTAGAAAGCCGTGGCAAAGGCTACCTCTCTCGGAATAGGTCAGGGTATGGGACCCTTGAAGGGAAAGAATTCCATCTCAGAGACGGGATTATGCTGGCTGACCGGGGAAGTAGCAGTCTGGCTGCTGAAGGGGAGGAGTGGGGTACCATTTCTGTGAGACACAGAGGAGAGAGAGAACCCCAGCTGGTCTCTTCCCTGTTGTATTCCCGTGAGCCAAGAAGTGCCCAGTGAATGCTGGGCTTCTAGGTCCGAAGCGAACATCACTGGAACGTCAGCTTCCTTCATCAGGATGCTGTTTGCTAAATGGGGATTCCATCTATATTTTTAAAGAACGACACCTTCTTATTTTGGCTTGTTCCTGGGGAAGCGCCCTGACTTCTTTTTACAAGAATATGATCCAAATGCAGAACCAAGTGCAGTGGACCTTTCTGAACAGTCTGCTCAGCCGACAATGACTCTTTCCAGTCTCCTTCCTCCCCAAGGATGGGCCCCCATCAGCGAGGCCCTCAAAGGGTACCTGCTCCACTGCCCACAGAAGATTGGACCAGGAATGGGCACTTGACTCAAGATGAGCCAATCAGGGAGATTTCCCTGGGAATTTGTAACTGTGACAGAAGGTTCATCTCTCCATCACCCTCGGCAGCCGTGCTCCACGACAAGGCGTGAGCACAAGAAGAGGTCTGCAGAGCGGTGGGAGGGAGGCTGAGGGGCAGAGACCCAGATGATCAGGCATGGAAGGGAAGGCTGCCCGGGGCTGGTACTGCATCCTGGACCTACAGCCCGCCTCCCTGGAGCCTGGCTGCAGTCCAACCTGTGTGTCCCTAGAGACCCGATACTCTCAGCATACACGCCCTCTTTCAGCGGTCATTACTCCAGTGTCCACGGCTTGCCATCAAAGATCCCAAATAACTGAAAGAGCCTAGGGAAGCTGAACTATTTAAAATTTCTCCAGGATTAAAAAACAAAAACAAACTCTTTCTGTAGCGGCCTGAGGTGATCTGCCAAAGTGGTTTGCTACTCCCTTGAAGCAGAAAACCCCCTGGAAATCATGCAAATCAAGAGGGTTGAATCTTTGGGTCCCTTTTAAGAACATTCATCAAAGTGCCCATGCCATCAAGGGTGTGCATATCTGGAAAGCCACCAAGTATTTGAAAGATGTCCCTTTGCAGAAGCAGCGTTTGCCCTTCCGACATTACCACGGTAGAGTGGGTAGGTGTGCCCAGGCAAACAGTGGGGTTGGACCCAGGGCCAGTGGCCCCAAAAGTGCTGAATGTTTGCTGCCCATGCTTAAACATGCAGGAAGCCCCGCTGAACTGAAGGGTTTAGATGTGGATGCTCGGGTCCCTGAGCACATTCAGGGGAACAAAGCCCCCAAGATGCACCACTGGACTTCAGAGCTCATGGTCAGATCAACCCACATGTGAGCTCTCCCGGCCACGTTGAAATGATCCTGACTGAAAAGAAGAAAGTTGTTCCTAAGGCAGAAGAGGAGGTTACCCCGAAGAAAAGATATCCCAGAAGAAATTGAAGAAGTAAAAACTTATGGCTCAGGAGGTAATTAAGCTTAAAATAAAAGCTAATAGAAGTATCTATCTGCATACATGTTGTATATAAAGACAGTGACTTAATTGGCAGTTCCTCCATCATTAAGCCAGAAGTTTCTCCCTCCTCATCAGTCCTGCAGTGGTTTGTGACTTTCTGCAAGATGCTTACACCCTGCGCTGTGCTACAGTGAGCTTTCCAATCATGTGCGCTGTCCCTGCCACCGGACAAGTGACCAGAGAAGCAGCAGGGTGCAAGCCAGGCGTGGGGGTCAAGAGGCAGAGAAGGCGGGGAGGGGGGTGGGTCCGGACTAGTTCTGGGCGGTCAGGCCACTGACAGCAGGAAGGCAGCCGGGGACTTTCACGGGACAGGAAGGATGGCAAAGGGCTGGGGTCGGGGTGGAGAGTGGGTCAGCCAGAGAAGGCCCGAGCCTAGCGTGCTGAAGAAGCAAAAGGTTAGAATAGGCAGCAGCTGGGCCCAGATTCAGGGCCAGCGGGGCAGTCCTCAAAACGACTGATAAGCACAGAAAGGACACATGGGCAGATGTTGGCTTTTCATAACACTCTGCTCATTTATCTGGTAAGCATTCATTAAGGAGCCCTGATCAGTGCTCAGCTGCTGAAGTTCATTCACCCTCCTCCATGACAGGACTGACCTGGTAATCTAGGCCCATAAAGACCACAGCTCAGGAAACCCTGTGGGACAGTCCTGTGTCACATGAGGTCCCTATGGGTCCAAACAACTCAATAGCACAAAACAGCAACAAATGCGTGCTAAACACAAACCTGTAAGACGCCGTGCTGGCTGGCTGGGGAAGGCAAAGGGAACTAAGTAACTTGGACCCAGTTCCTGTTCCCCTTGAACTTACAGCGTGATAAAGAAATGGATGGATAAGCAGATCAGCCTGCTGCTTCACACAGAGGTTCCATTTGCTGAAGACCAACTGGCACCTCCAGTCGAGATAAAGCCACCGTTCAAAGGACCATGGCAGGCAGAGCTCAAAGACCCGAGGGAGGCTATCGAGAACAAGCCCGACTCAGATCTGAGCTATGCCAAGAACCAAGAGTGTGACCTTGGGCAAGTTACATAAGCTTCAGTTTCCTCCCGTGTGAAATGGGGATAAAACAGTTCCTTCCTCACAGGGCTGAGGTAGGGAGGGAATGAGATAATGCAGGAGAGTAGCCGGCAGAGTAAGGGCTCAGTAAAGGGCACTCATCACCGATCGCCTTGACAAGCAATTTGCTTACTAGGCATGAAGCACAGCCCTGGGAGCGGGGACCGTGTCCGTGAACGAAAGAAAGGCCCTGCCCCTGGGGAGCGGCTGTTTAGAGCGAGTGATCTGGGCGCATTGCAACTGCGGCATTTGGTTTATGCCTAGTCATGGTATTACTATTACCCGAGCCCTGGGAGTGCGGCCAGGTGAGCTTGGGACTGCTACTTGCAAGGTCAATGGTTCAAATCCATTAGCTAGTCTAGCACGGGAGAGATGCGGCCGTCTGCTCCCATGAAGATGGCAAAAGCCTTGGAAGCTCCATGGCCGCTGTGAGTCCGAGCCGATCCGTGGCAAGGGGGGTTAGTCCTCAGGGGCAGCGGGGCTAGTAGAGGAGCCACTGACTGCGCAGTGCTTCACAGAGCTGAATGCTTGAGGGACGCAGGAAAGATTTGTCGGGTCTGAGGGAGTGAAACACATCCCAGGTAAGAGAACTTGGTAAGTTTAAATAATAATTAAAAAAAGACAATGCACTCCATGTGGCCAAGACTCAGGGTGTGTGTTAGGCAAAGAAGGTGGGAAAGGAGGCGGGAGCACCATTTTCAAGAATCTTTGGTGGCCGGTCCCACTGCGCACTTTCTTGCCTGGTGAGCAGTGAGCCAGTCCCGGTTTTTGATCTGAGCAAAGTAGAAGTATGGGACGGCTATGGTGGGAAGAGTGACATGGGGCAGCATGGTCAATCCTGCGCCGCTGGGCAGTCCAAGCAAAACAACACAACCCAAAACTCCCAGCTGTCAAACCCATTTCCACTCACGGCCACCCTTCAAGATGGGCAGAGTTGCCCCCTGAGGACTTCCGAGACTGTAACTGTTGACGGGGACAAAGCCTCATCTTATTTTGACAGAGTGGGCTGGTGGTTTTGAACAGAAGACCTCAGGGTTAGATGGTTACTGAAGTAGGTCAATTTCAAGGTAAACTAAAGAGGGAGAATCAGTGGAACTCAGATACTCACTGAATGAGGAGGTGGGAAGACAGTATCAAGTGGAAAAGGGGGAGGCGGGGGAGTTCATTTGGCTCAACAATAAGGAACCAATGGTTGACTCCGATGATGACAGCCACTTCAGTAGACTGTGTACAATGGACGGGAGAATGCTGACAGCAATGTTTTCAAGAAGGTTGGTGGTGAACTGATGACATAAAACATAGCAAGAGATATTGGACACAACTCTGTAGGTTTCCCTTTGCATAAAGTACAAACTGGGGAGTAAATGATTGACACTATTAAAAGTTGGTGTGATGATTTCTGTTGGGGGCAATGAAAAATAGGGAATATGGGTAATCCTCTGATGCTTCATCAGCTTCCAGGTTATAAGAGCGTTTTTACTTTGAGAAAATGTATTGAGCTGCATGTATATGATTGTTGTTGTTAGGTACCATCAAATCAGTTCCAACTGAGAGCGACGCTATACATCAGGGAACACTGCATGGTCCTGCAGCATCCTAACAATGGCTCCTATGCAGGCCATTGATGTCAACCCGTCTCCTTGAGGGTCTTCCTTTTTCCCCCCGCTGCCCTTCCACTTTACCAAACATGATGTCCTTCTCTAGGGACTGGTCTCTCTTGATCCTTTGTCCAAAGTACATAAGATGAAGTCTTGCCATCCTTGCTTCTAAAAAGCACTCTGGCTTTCCTTCTTGTAACATAGCCTGGTTGTTCTTTTAGCAATCCATGGTACTTTTAATATTCTTCTCCAGTACCACAATTCAAATGGATCCATTCTTTTACAGTTCCTTATTCAATGTCTAACTTTCACTAGCATATGATACAAGGCAGAAT